AAAAAGTTCTTGGTGGCTTTGAGGTCCGGATTTTAGATCATTCCAGATATTGGATGTCCAGATCTCGCACTTTGTACTGTACTATATTTCCTTCTACTAAATACATTCTCATCAATTTCAACAGTAATATCCAAGCCACCCAACATTTCACTCTTTGTCTGCGTTATATCGACACAAATATCGAGACAAAAATTCTTCCATACGCATGTAATGTAGATATAAGTCATTGCTTACATCTACTTTATTTTTTACTAAGCTCATTTTTACCTCAAAAAACCGTAAGTAAGGTAGTTGACCAGCTAAGGCAAATTTCTCATTCACTTGTCAACAGTATTAGCTGTGGAGAAAGTAATTAATTTTTTCGTAGTTAGCAAAATTCTTCAACTGCCTACCTAGCTAGTGATGACTTTTTTTACCAAAAAAAGTTGTAATATAAAATTATTATAAATAATTTAGAAAAATGCGTTTCTTTTCCAGTAGTTGGCCACCTAAAAAAATGAAATCTCTAGTAGTTGACCATGTGCTCAGAAAGTTTCCAATGCAGAAAGGATGATATTGTTAGTTAATAAATATAATTATTTAACACATGTTTATTGGCTTTCATATATTTTATCAAAACATAAACTAAAAACCCATGCAAACATACATACCCATTGTAAAACCCATACAAAATATTACTTAATATTCAAGGACCTTCAAGATTTTAAGTGCTCATACTGAAGTGTTCATAGAAACAATCAATCCTTCAAGAAATCAAACTCGGGCATACTATACGCATTATGAGTCTTGTTCGTTTTTCGTGGCTCACCAATATGGAAAACAACATCCTTCCACTCATATGTCAAAATATCAGGCTTTTCTGGCCACTGCCGTAATCTTCTACACCTTTTTATTGAACTGATTGTGGCTTCTTTCTTTGTGGCATGCATTATCTTTCCTGGGTAATATACACCTTCATAGACAAATAGAATGAATTCATCGATTTTTCTCTCGACAGGTAAAAGGTTATTTCTAGAAAACTGTTCATTTCCATGGCTCAGCTCTTCATCACTTTCATCTGAATCAGAATTTTCATTAGTGGAAATTGAACTCTTAGATGGAGTGTGTACAAATTTGTTTGCCTTATTTTCTTTTGCTTCTTCTCTTTGTTCTTTTTTCCTTTGCATTTCATTAGCTCTCTCTTTTTTTAGTCTTTCCTCTTCTTTTTTCTTTTCGATTTTTTTTTTTTTGAAGTAATCATGGAATTGCTTTCCAGAAACTACAGTTGGTATCTTTTCTTTACAAGTTCTTCTTTTCTTCAGATTTGTTTCCTTGTCTTCATAGAAGAAATGTCTTTTAAATGGACTTGGACTTTCATCCCTGGAGATCTTAAAATGTATTTCTTCTTCTAATAATATCATTATCAAGATTCAAAAAGAACTGAAAAACCTAAAAGATAAAAATATTTCAGTTGCATTTTCATTTGTTCATGGTCATACAGGTGTTGTTGAGAACGGACAAGCCGATTTCCTTGCTAAGGCTGCGACTAAGCGGGAAATTGACACTTTTGACAATATCCCTAATTCCTTTTATAAGAAGGTCATGTATGAGAGTATTGTGGAGTCGTGGAACCATGAATTCACAGACTATAAATTAACCCAATTTCTTACTGGCCATGTAAATTTCAAAAGTTATTTGAATAGATTTAAGTTGAGCTCCGAGTCTGTCTGTGATTGTAGCCTCGGTGGAGAGGAGAATATTGAACATGTGCTTCTTCCATGTCCTAAATATAAGAACGAAAGAAAAGTCTTGAAACTGGAACTGAAAAACTTTAATATTAACTGGCCTCCAGAATTTTACCAGTTTATTTCCGAAAGAAGTGCTTTTCACACTTTTTGTCAATTTATTGTGAAACTTTGTAATCATCCTTAATTTTACTTCAGTTTTTTCTTCTGTTTATTTTGTATTGTGTTTCATACTTACTTCTGTAAGCCCCATGTGATACTATGTGGTATATGGGGAACTTATTGTGTTTCTTTAAATAATAATAAAAAAAATGGACTTGGTACCTTTTGTGAAGGACCTGCAGGATTGGTGTAGTACGAGGTGCTTGCTCTGCTTTGGGAAGGAACATCTCTTGATGCGGCCACTTGGTTGGGTAGTGCAGTTGGAAAAGTGGGACTGTTTGTTGGTAGCTCAACAATTGCAATGTTCTCATCATCGAGTGATCTGGGATTCATGTCATTTTCATAGGTAGTCTCAGTTATTGGAATCAAAGAATCATCTTCGTGTGGTAGTGTTGTATCTTCAAGCGTGTTAATATCATTCAACATTTCCTCTGCTTGGTGTATTAATTCAGCTGGCGAAATGGAGTCATCAAGAAGATTCGTATCATGAAGTTGAGCTGGGTCCAATGTTATTGTTTTTATCTACACAGTTACCATAACTTTCCAACTCTGTTTGCATCTTTTTCCATAGTAAGAACAGCACTGTGTCCTTTACATCCCCTTCCCATGTTTCTGACGAGTGCTGAAAACTATCAGTTTTGTCTGTTTCAATGGTTTCATTTAGAAATTTGAAACCATCTTTAAGTACTTATTTCGAGTCAGGTGCATTTCGGCATTTGAGTTATTATTTACATCTTCTTTTCCAGGTACATGAACAGCTGAGAGATTCCAAGGACATAAACCACATTTACAAAATCCATTACACAGAATATCTTTAGTGATTCATTCATCAATCACATCCTTGAGCAACTTTGGAAAATCTTTCTTCTTCAATGTTGGGGCGTCAAGGTTGTTAATCTTCCAGTCATGAACTTTATTCCTCCAGCACTCTTTCAGAGTTCCAAGACAATGCCATGACTGTCACAAAATTTGCTTGTTTGCAAGCTTAAGTGGGAAGAATGCCCGTCAATGAACAATATAATTGGTAATGTGATTTGTGCTTCTACCAACCATATGTAAAATATATTGGCAAAGAATTCAAGAAAGGCTTCGCAAGTCATTCAACCTGAGTTGGTCTTTCCAATACCCCATCCTGTTGGGAAATTTTCAACAATATCTTGAGGAACACGTTTGTATTTGAACACATCTGTCGTAGGAGCAACAAGCCCACTTGCACTGGCTGTTACTAAGACAGTTACACATTCTTTCTCGTCTGCATTAACTTGCTGATAAACCGTTTTTGTACGAGAATTGTACGAGGAACACCGAATTTCTTAGCAGCTTCTCTTCTTGGTGTTTTATGTAGTAAAATGTCATTCACCGCTTTTAGGAAAGTCTCTTCTGTATAATTTCAAAAATTATTTTTCGTAGGAGGCACCATAAAATTTGAATAGCCTAAAAAGTCAAAAAAGTAAGGTAATTCAGAAGTTGACCGTGGGGTCAACTACTGGAAAAAGCAGTGATAAGGACTTGCTAATTTGAGGCATTAAGGTAAACACATTTTCCTATAACATTACACGCATTCCTACATTGAGAAAAAGTTTTTTTTAAACGTCAGTAGTTGACCACCATGGTTAACTTCTGAACATCAACAATTAGTAGATCCAGTAGTTGACCACAATAAAAAATAGATAAAGGGACGAGTAAACCACATAACTTATGGGTCATTTTGTTTAATAATACATTCACTTAATAAATATTTGATTGCCGAATTGAATAATACAAATAAATAACTGTACTTACACAAAAACCGAAGTCAATCCCTAACCGAAATTGGTAATCAGGCGGCAAGAATTAGCAGGATCTGGGAGAGCACAAGTTTCACTGTCAGCCATTACTTAACTGAAAGGCATATCAACTGGGAGTTGATAAAATGTGATACTAGATGGCAGCGTCTTATAAGCAGGTTTGCATGAACGCCAAACCAAAATATCCCTTATTTTGAAGCTTTTCCCCTGAAATGGTTAATTACTAGTGCATGGTCAACTTTTGGTCCCTCTACCTTATGTATTCTTTACAGACCTTTTAGTATACTGCTTGCCCTTTCCGTTTATGCAATAAACCAATTAGAAAAAAGCATCCATTTGGAATTTGCACTCCACAAAGTGCATTGGAACATTTGTATTTTGATGCAATTAGTCTTTCTCCATACTATGTCATTCAAGCATACTTTGCATGCCCTTACTCTCTTAAAAAAGTCTCGGATTCAGCTTACCATTCATTCTGATGTGTTCAAACACAGTCTTGGCAAAACGGGGGGGGGGGGAATGTTTGAATTTTTTTGTAGTTTGTTTTATCTGGTAACTTGGGAAACAAACAATTTTTCTTTTGCAAGATTGCATGACCAGATTACTAGAATACACATTTGTACCAAAAAATATTTTCAGATTTAACTTACCTCTCATACTTAAACTTGTTTGTATTGCAGATTTACTTACCATGTATGATGTAATATTTAAGATAAGTAAGAGTTAGCAGCATTGGGTTTATAGCCATTTTGTGGGTCTAACATAAGGGAAACCCTATTCTGAAATTGCATTGAGGATTGCAAATGTCATTTTTCGACAAGATACTGCCTAGCTGCTGAGCTTGTGCTGGTGTGCAAGTGCTGTTTTGGCCAGATTGATCCATTGATCTCTCAGCAACTGAGCATTTTGTGGAGCATAATTAGTTATCATTTGCATACTTCCTATCCATCGTGAAATAAAAAGAGCTGTGAGGTCACATCAACAACACATTGCGCACCGTTCTAAAGAACATGATTCAGACATTCATTGGTTCAAGCCAAAAGCTGAGCTAAAATATATTACTCAATGAGACCACAAATCTTATTTGTATCTCTGTATATCTAAGTGCCTTATTGTTGCGCATCTTTAAATATTATACCATCTGTTAAATGCTTGATTTTCTAATTTTTATTCAAAGTTCTGTGCATTTCTAATCATTCTTTCATGAGTTGGTATTTTCTGTGCCATGCAGTGCGTAAAATGTATTCGAAATCAGTTATAATTAATTTTTACCCCCTGAAACTTTTATCTCCTAACTTAACTATTTTGAATTTTTGAACTATTTCAGGGAGGTAGAAGAAAATGCGTTAGTCCAGTGGCAAGCCAAAGATTCTAAGGTTGTTTATCAGATAACTTCTCCTTCAGTAAAATTTCGATATGGTAAGTATGGACAAATGATTTCCATGAATGTCCCCATTGGTTTGTGTTTATAGACTTTGCTGTCATATATTTAAATTATTCCATTTACAAAAATGTGATATTTTTTTTATATTTTTTAACTACAATGGTAATTATGAGGGAAATATAAACAATTTTGTTAAAATTAATGAATTTTTTTTTTTTACTTTTAACTTTCATTTCACATCTTCATTTAGAAAGTTGAATGCCACAAATTATTAAATATTTTTTAAATTATTAATCTGAAAATATTGGGTTTTAATGAAAGTTTCCCACCACCGCAAATATTGTCTGTGCAAGCAGTTCTCATTGGCGTGTTTAATCATATTTTGTCAAATGATTTTTGACATTTGAAAGAAAGAGGCTTGCTTTAGAACACTGTGTTGTGAAATTTGTAAAAAAAAATATTGTTATCATTAAGTACAAGGTGTCTGAAACCGAACTATCATGCTACCGGATTAGAACCATCATGTACTTCTGGTTCGGTTGCGAAAAGTCAGCTAGTGCTGCATCAGGCTCATCTATTTACTAGAAAAATGTAATGTAAAATTCCTTACCTGCTGCATCATCAGTATTCGCGATGCCAGGTGTCTAATAATTAAGTTTCTCAGTAAGAGTTTCTATTAGAATTAACAAGCCATTTTGTCTTTTACAAATTTATTCAAAGGAACATTTATGTACATTATTTACAAGGTAGGTGATAATTTTAAAACAGTACATTTTAATTGTTTTTCTGAGGCAGAAGTTTTGTCTTTATGTTCCTCAGAGAGTTCAAAACTAGTCTCGTTCTCAAATCTCAATAAGAGAAAAATAAGGGAAGAATGCCTGCCATCTAGTGGCAAGAATGGGACAGCTAAGAGAATGTCACCAAATCATGTGTATAGCTTTAGGTACTAATGTTTCATCATATGACGCTGTGAAGGTTTGGTTCTGAAAGTTCAAAAACAAGAACTATGACATTTAAGAAGCAGAGTGCTCTGGCCAGCCTACTGATGTTAATGAGGCCCGCTTGCGAGAACTTGTGGAAGAAGATCTGTGTGAAACCACCTGCTAAATAGTTAGTGCCATGTCCATTAGTCGTGCTGTGCATAACATAAACTTGATGTACACGTTCAGTCGCTGGAGGCTGCATGAGCAAACTCAAGCAGATAAGGGCAGACTTGTTTGGGCCTGCACTAATCTGCTCGAATGTCAACACAAGGACAAAATTCTGGATCGGATGGTCACTTGTGATGAAAAGCTGATTTATTTCAACAACACAGGCCAAAGAGAGGGTTGGTCTGTGCTCGGTGACTAACAAAAAGATTATCCTTTTTAGCTGGTAAGTGCTGAGGTATTATCCACAAAGATTATCTGGAAAAAGGTAAAAGCCTCAAGAGTAAGGTATACAGCAAGATGCTATTCTGTATTGACGTTGCTATCAAGAAAAAACATCAAACTGAGCTCTGGCACAAAAAGGTAATGTTCCGTCAAGATAATGCATAACCAAATGTGTCTGCATTCACCGGCTGGACTATGTAAGGACTCGATCTTTTGCCACACCCACTATATAGCCCTGACATCTCTCTTTCGGACTTCTACCTTTTTTTCATACCTGCAGCTACATCTTGCAAGTGCTATCTTCCATTCTGCTCTATCCGTCTTAAATGAGGTTGATCTGTTTTTGAACTCGTGGCCATCAAGTTTTTGGGCTGAAGGCTTTAAAAAAACTACCAAAATATTGACAGAAAGTCATAGATTTGGGCGATGATTACTACCTGCACTAAAGGTACTGCTTTCATGTTTTTTCCAGTAACTTCATTAAGAACATTTTTGGCGGAAATTTTTCATTACAATCCAGACATATTTTATTTACTGAATTGATTTTAATCCAAAATTCATATATATATATATATAAGCAAAAAAATTTTTATTTCAATGAATTTTAAAATTCATTCAGAAGGACCATAAAGAAAAATCCTGCTTAATTGCTGAATTCTAAATTTCACTTCAAAGTTTCTAGGAGATAATTTCCTTAATTTTTCTCTATTACTGTATTGAATTATATATGGATGAAGGAAGCGGGGTGGTAACAGGCGATCTTTATTGGGCAGCATGGCTTTAGAAGGCAGGATAGCAATATCTGTATTAGCAATGTAACAGGCAATCTTCAGAAGATGTCACCATTCATAATTCATAAATATATACTCTTAAATTGGAGAATGAAAGCTAACAAACAGCTGTGTTCTGGTGACCTGCTTATTGAAATTTCTTTATCTCAATCTGTTATGTTCTTTGGATTAAAAATACTTGGGCTAGTTGACAACAGTGTTTTAGAGAATAAAGCTCTATAGTTATGGCATATTTTCTAAGATCAGTTTCCTCATTGTATCAGAGGAGGAACTTATCTTTAAGCTTTTCAGCCATAATGTCTGTTGTTAGGTGGATCAAGATGCACAGATGTAGTTCGTTGATCAATATCTAGCCTGTAATTCTGACCTTCTGTTTACCTGATCTTTTAAAAAGTATTAAGGTAGGGTCTTAATAGCTTACATAACAAACACTTTGTGTTTTCAGTGCCATTGCTGTGGCCATTTAAAGATGTCCAGTCAATGTAAACTATTAGGTGCTTGTTGCTCTGTTGAAGGCCATGGCAGTGATAATTGTAATGCTGAGCCACTATGTGCAAATTGTGAAGGGAAGCCCTAGCATTCTCTCAAATGTGCCCAAAATGGAAATCTGAAAAGGAGATACAGATGATAAATGTAACTAGGATTTTTTGTTTTGCAGATGCAAGATTAGTACAGTCAAAAGTCTTTAATCCGGACTCGTCGGGACTTCGGCGATTCCAGATTATCGGTTTTTCCGGATTATAAATCATCAATTTAAATCTGGTAAGATGGCATGCAGAAATTATAAAATAAAAAATATGAAACCATAATTTATGAAATAGAGAGCAATTATGATCTAAAGGGTATCAAAATTTACAAAAAAAAAAAGCTTAATATTTATTTGTTTACTTTATGAAACATTTCTTTCAACGCGCACATGCGTAAAGCATACATTACGCATAGTCGAAATTAGAAAATTGCAACCAAAAAACTATTTGATGTGTATTCGTGATATTTATAATGACGAGGAATTTGATTTAAATCATATCAAAGACGGAGTACATCGAGATGAAATACTGCATTTAGTAAGGAATTATAAGCCGAATAAAATAAAAACATCTGCCCTGAAGATAAGGATAGTGCTGACAGATCAACTTCCAGTTCATTGTGGGCCGCGATGTCCCCCCCCTTGCTGCAGAGCAGCGTGAAATTGGTAAACAGATTTCGGAATGGTTAGAGAAACAAAGGGTATGCCTTTATCCATTTTTTGCAGCAATTCCACTTTATGTTTGATGAATATCGAAACATGCTTTTGCTTTGTAGATCCTTTGGCAGCTCCAGAATTGGAAATTCGTTTTGACATAATCAAAAGTTCAAGCTTACTTTTATAAAATTGCTCTAACAGTCTGCAAAAAATAAGCTGGATCCAATTCGAAGATTAAGGAACAACGCAATCTGCAAATAATTTTAGCTTAGCTTATACTGTCCGTTATATATTAAACACACATTCATAAACGTATTATACGCATGCGTAAAGGTATTATGCACATACAAAATTGCATTATGCATTTACGCATGCACAGAAAGTTTGTAGCTTTGAAATCCGGATTATGAACATCCGAATTAAAGACTTTTGACTGTAGTAGAGTTGTAGCTGTGTAAAAATTTATCATATGCCAATGCTATGTAATTTGTCAAATCAATAGGCAAACAAAAACTACAGTATGCATACTAAATTTACAAGAAAACACAACACAAAAATTAATAACAAAAACATCAAATAATAAAGAAATAAATGATAATCAAATTGAAAGTATTAACGAAAAAAAGAAAATTTCTAAAGCTTTCAAATCTAAATGTGAACTTCTTGGACTCTGAGATGAATGTGGAAGAGGAACTTGATATTTGAAACATCTTCTTTTACATTAAATCAAGAAAAACCATCAGAAAAACATTATGCATACTGGCCAGTCTCATTTCATGAAATTGTCATGCCTTCCATTAAAGTTTCTCAGATTTTGTACTTTATTATGTTTCATATGAAGCAAAGTGAAAAAAAATCAAGATTACTTAATTAAAATTAAGATTACTTAGTTTCTAAAATTCAAATGTATTTTAAATGATATATATATTAACCCTCTGACTGCTCAATTTGTAGACCAAAATCACTTCCAAAATTGCGCTTTTTTTTGTTTTTCCTCCATATTTTAAATCTATATATATATAGGAAAATTGAAAAATGCATTTTTTCTTTCTAGAAAATATTTTTTATATAGATTTTTATCATGAGAAACTAAGTTGCCAGAAAAACCAATTTCAGACGTTAATCAAAAAAAAAAAAAAAAAAAAAAAAAAAAAAAAAAAAAAAAAAATTAAAAAAAATATAAAGCGCTGAGGAAAAAATACCTTAAAAATGCTGTTTAGTATGATAGAGTTCAAACTTTACAGTCTTTGCACCAGATTCAATAAATCTAATTAATAATCAATCTAATTATTAATCTAATGAATAATTCAATAATTTAATTAAGTAATCAACATAATCACTGAACATTTTCTAGCAGCCATTTCTGTAAGCAAAAAGTGAAGTTTGAGCGCTAATACCACGTGCCTTCAAATGCCGCAATTTAGTGGACAACTAACAATATGTGTTGGCCAAAATGCAAACTAAACACCTAATACTGTATATAATTTATTTCAATGGTTAATCGGGGAAAAAACGGGATTCGCTCCTCAAAAGGAAGAAAAACATATGCCCGCGGAAATCGCGGGATGATCAGCCAGAGGGTTAAATATTCAGGAACGTATTTATTATATTAATGCACTGTAATACAGTCAAAAGTCTTTAATCCGGACATCCATAATCCGGAATGATCTATAATCCAGACCTCAAAGCTACAAAC